AAAGGCGACTCGAGGCAGTGACATTACTTCGATACTATACTTCAAATAGAAAGTGGGAATATATAGAAAGATGAGAGTTCCCTCTTTTTGTGTAGGTCTCGTTGCTAAAAGCTCTTTGTTTGTGTGTTCGTCGGGAGTATAACAGCAATGGCATGAATTTTAACTGCAGTTAACGAGGGCTAGAATGAAAAATAACCAAAGCTTTTTGGCTGTCTAATTTTATTAAGAATCCACTCTTTTCTATCATTGGATCAGAGACCCCTAGTCAGAAACAATCAACCAGACCAGACTGAAATGTAGGTCATTCTCTGGCATGAAATAACGAAATAATTAAATAATTTTTGGAGAATGGGATTAATTCAGATAAGATTTTTCAAAATAATCCCAGCTCTAAGTTTTAGTGCTTTTTGGTTAAGTTGTTTGGGGTTCTAATCCTTTCAGGGCCCTCATCTCATTTTATAGTTTTAAATCTATATTTTACTTCGTTCTTCTCCGTATATCAAAGGCTACTCACTTCTCTTCCCAAAGTTTTTGGTTCCCATTCTCAACTACATTCAACGTCAAATCTCTATTCAGATGTCACATACACTAATATCGATCCCGTAAATTCGCCTTCTGGTGCATAAAGTTCATTATTCGATTGGATTTGTATTCATTCACAGCTATTTTTTTTTCATTTATTTTGTTTTATATATTTATTTATTTTACAGCGTTGATGTTCCGGTATTTCACTGCTGTCATATATTTCGTTTAGATTTTCCCCTGTTGGTTCTAATCACTGGGCTGTTTATCTAAAGCATGAATACAATTTTTACGGCACAAGGCTGAAGGGAAAGTGGGGGAAAGTCTGTCCATCCAACTCCTAACTAATCCAACTCGTGAACAATTCACTCTAACAATGGACGCACTCACCGCAAAAAGCTATCTCTCTACATTCAATCTTAACATGTACCGCAATACCACATTTTCACAGGGTACCTAATAAAATGCCCGTGATTTTTAAAAATGTTTATTTATATATATATATATATATAATTTGTAGGTCTGATGAATTGGATCGTATTTACGATTCCAATGGAATAAATTATGACCATGGAATATTAGTGTTTAAGCCTTTTTATTATATATATATATATATATATATATATATATATATATATATATATATGTGTGTGTGTGTGTGTGTGTGTGTGTGTGTGTGTGTAAAAAAATAGATAAAAGAGGAGGGAGTGAACCCATTAAATCAAAATAAAAGAAAACGCAACATTCAAACCAAAATTAAATATATATTAGTGAGGACCCGTCCAACTCACAATAATAAGAGTGGTTGCTGTGTTCTGCCAATAACCAAAATCATAAAACTCACTTACTAGTGGCAGGCGAGAGACACATTCAATTTGGGGGTAGGGAAATGTAAAAGAGTGTTCTAGTCAAGATAAAAGCGAGGATAAATACTTGGGGAGATCGGAAACTTGACAAGGATCATAGCAAAGTATAAAGACGTGACATGGTTGGGATCAACATTTACTCGCATTACCTAGACGAAGAACAGAGACTAGCTTAAGCAGGGGTGGGACCGCTAGGAATCTGCTCCGTTGTGCCCTGATGAAATCAAGATTAACCTGACTTATGCGAACCAGGCTCGCAACACGCAACCAATCGCTTTCTATCAGTTCTCATCTTCATCCTAAGCTGATGCCCAAAGAATCCAATCAGATCCTGATGAGAATAGTATTTGTTTCTATTCACGTCACCGACACCACCAGTGTTGTTACGGATAGCAACGTGAGAAGCATCCTGGACAACACTTCGCACACGTACGCGAGACCGATGGACAAGATGTTTGGGATCGATAAGAGCTGTCAACTCACCGACATCGTCCCCAAACGTCTGTCAAGTTTGCATTGAAATTCGCGTCATTGAGATGCAGCACATTCCGGTCCAATCGTCAGTTAAGCGAAAAGTTACTGGGGTAATTCACCACTGGTGCCCTGAACCAGAAAGAGCTCAACCCATACGCCAACAAGCCGAGCAGGTCATAGAGCGGCTCCAACGCAACTCTCTCCACTAATTCCCGATACAATGCTCTCCTAGGCTCTGAAAGGTCACTGGGCCGAGGTGTAATACGCAAGGCCTGTCGACATTCGCTGAGGATGGCCTTCTGGCGGTGGGGCTTACGATGGTATTCAACCTCGAGATGGAAACGAGAGAGTAAGACTAAGGAAGGCAGCCCTAACATTCCTCGCCCACAGCGTCTCTTCTGTTAACACGCAGCGTAGGAAAAGCAGCCTCGAGGTGTATCTATAACTCTCCAACTGAGGCATTCACAGCCTTCACCCTACCATGATACGGACGATGGATACAGACTTCTCAGCGAACCATTGGCTTGCCTCCATCTCACGAGAGAGAGAAGAGAAAGCGCATGAGCTCCTTCAGACGATACTTAAAAAGGGGAAATACAGACAACCGGTAAAGGACAAAGGGAAAGGTTTACACTGCACACATAGCCCTAGCCTTCAAGGACAACGGCCTTCGGAACCAAGTCCGGGTCGCCGATCCTACCGTTGCTAGTAACTTCAACCAATTCTTCTACAGATGATATTCTGGCCTGAAACACACTCAAAGAATTCGGATGGGCCCCGGAAAATCAACGCCCTTCCAAGAACCCAACCGCAAGCCGGAAGACTTGTCATGGTTAATGTTGGCTCTCGTAACCTCGTACCGTTCAAGCGTCTTCTGGATCACCGAAATGTCGCTGCGGCATGACACGAAAACAGATATGTCATCGGCGTATGCGGAAACCCTGGATCGAGCCGATCCGTGGAGACAGATTCCGCATATGGCCGGATTGCATGCCCTATCCTTTATCTTGCACAGGAGGCGCTCCAGCACTAGAGTGTAAAGTAGAAGCGACATCGGACAACACTGACGAACTGACCGTGAGAACGCAAAGGCTCCCTACCGCTTTCCGTTCAGTCTTAGGGGAGCGATACAGCAGACTAATCCACTTGCAGAAGTCGGAAATCGGCGACCTGCAGGACAGACACCAAGTACTGACGGCCTTCCCTGTCGAATGCCTTGAACTGATCCAAATTGATCAACGCTGCATCTTCGTCGTTTTCTCCACCCACTACGATCGTGCGGATCAGATGTAGGTTGCACTGAATCGTTCGTCCCTTCACAGCACAAGTCTGCTCTGACCCCAACGGAAACTTAACAGCTGAGTGCAAACGCGCCGTCATGATCTTAGCCACAATATTTAACCCTATGTTCAGCAGGGTTATGGGTTTATAGTTGTCTAATTTCCCTTCCATGCTTGTCCTTCGTTAACAGCGCAGTAACACCCCTGGAGATCCGATCGGGAACGGATCCCTGTTGTTAAACATCACTGTCAAGATTGGTACAAACATGTGCGACAAACTCAAGTACAGTTCATAGGGAAGATAGTCAAATCCCGGAGACTTGCCACTGCGGACTCTCTTCAATGTTTCGTGGAATTCGCCTTCTATGATCTAACCCTCACAGCCACTCGCTCCATCGACGAGACTCGAGTAAAGTCAGCTTAATAACTATGAAACTCTTGCTCAGGAACGACTCCAACTGACGGAAAAACGGATAACGCCCCCCCTCTGATCGTTAGGCGCATAAACCACAACAACCCGAAACGAACTGCTTTTCACGGTAATATCGGCCACGACATCCCCTGCGTCGACATGAACAAGGTCCAATCTTGCACCCAGAGAAAAGCTTCACCGGCAAGGAAATTCCTCTGGCCAGCTGGTCTCTGTTTACTGAATAGAATACAAAGTCGCTAGAAAACACACATGCATCGCAAACAAATCACAACCAGATTCGCAACGAAGGACAGATGATGACGAAGCAGGCGGGTTACCTTACTTCGATCACACAAGCCTCTCGCATTCATGACTTTGGCAGTTCACTGATTTGAGGCTAAGAAGCCACATCGAGTTCCCCTGAAATCCATGTCAGCTGGTGCCAGATTTTCTGATTCCTAAAATTTTAAACCCAGTTCCTCCAGAAATTTAAACAAGGCCCAGTGTCCCTATAGGGAAGGGTTATTTTTTGTTGTACCAAGACCTATATAAACCAACTGAAGATTAACCCCATGAAGCTTTCGTATCATTTTTCGTCGTGAAGATATTTTTCTTCCTTAATATTGCACCCGCCATGGCTTGAACTAGCGATGCGATTACGGCGACCTTCAATCTTCCACTGTTCTGAGATCAAGAACAAAACGTGGGCATAGTTAGTAGGGATCGAAGCGGCCAGCGGCCAGCGACCAACAAACAGTTTGAACCAGCATCAGTATTGACCAGAGCAGAGTTAGCCCTGTGATTAAAACGTCGTCCTAAGACACTGAGGACCGGACCACTAAACGTGGTTACACCACCGGATGTAGGCGGCGGTATATATTAATTGGTAACCGTAACCAAGGATTTGACCCTGGGATGTATGTGGCGTTATATTATTTGGTGCCGTGACGATGGATTTGACCCTGGGTTTCTGATGTTATATTAATTGGCGTCCGGATCAACGTGTCCAAGGAAAAGAGTAGAAAAGAGTACAATTCTTTACGGGAGTAAGAAACAAAGGATTTTAGTCAATTGACTATAAGCTTCTGAAACTGTATGGGTGTGTTTCTTGTTTTATCAAGTCGAGGCCACCACAAGACTTTTTGGTTTCCCTGTATTTTTTGTCTCTCGTGTTGATTCATTTACGCACCTCGCAGATAGAAAAAAAGTTTGTTTGTAACTGGATTTTGTCTGATTGTCTCTCTTTTCCAATGTTGTTGATTGATTTGATGAGTTGGGATGAGACTCCAGGAGAATTGGGGCAGAATCGAGTGGAAGAAGAGATAATAATAACCCCAGAGGAAGTAAGAGAAAATGCCGCTATTCAGAACCAGATGGCGGATTTGTTTGTCGATGTGATGGAGAACGAGCACATCAGACATGATGTAAAAGGCGCCAACCAGGTCGTCAGTAGCCATAGGTCTGACCAAAGACAATGAGAAATTTTGGAAGAAGACAAGACGTGTAGAAGTTCGAGTTCGGAATCAGGAAGTTAGCAGCTAGAATAAAGAGAAAAAATCCCTGTCGTAGAGAAAGTGAGGGTGTGTCCGGTGTCTTAGGAGACCGACGCCAATAGAAGAGAGTGGTCCCTGAGGCATGGATGCAGACAGTGCATGCATGCAGATAGATAGATGGGGAAAAGGTTACCCCTACTTCTGAAAGAAATGCCCCACCCCAACCAAAGAGACAAAAAACTAAGGGATTCCCCAAGAAGAATGACGCTCCAATGAATACGATTTGGCTTATACGATATGGGACGAGAAACCCTAGTAGTAATTGGTAAAAGCAGTGAGAGAAAAAGTAGGGCAAGCTTGTAAGAGGGGAAACATTCTCATAAGAGTGAGAGTTAGGCATTGATAGAGAGGGAGTTGTGAACGGCGCATTTCGCCTGATGGTGGGTTGAGGGGAGAGAGGTGGCGAAGTACGAGAAATAACGATGTTAAATATTTTAGATCATAAATACCTTCTTTGAACTTAACATTCGATTTATTTGAGGGATAATGATCTGTCTGGAGTTGATCCGAATTGAAGGAGAAATTAATTTTCATGTATAAATAATACTTTGTAGGTATTTTAAAGCATTAGCAATTTTTTTACTTTCGTCACTCATTGAAGCCAGTGTTGTATAAGGGGATAGGAGAAAATTTTAAAAAAATAATAATAATTGCGATAAAGCTAAAAGGCTATTTAATTAGGAAAGCTTTTGACTGTGGTATGAATAAGATTATAGACACTATTGTCTTGAGAAAAAAAAGAACTTTTTCAATGAATACTGTGTTTTTGGCAGGAACGGTTTTCATCTTTTTTAAATTTAATTGGAATAATTCATAGGGTTTTAAATCAATTAAAATTCCGTTTTGATTGCACTTAGTTGGATGGAAACTGTATTTGATAATCGTAAATGAAATAACTTGGTGCGGTTCAGCGATCACTGGGATTTAAAGTAAAAATAAACAAATCAAAAACCTTAATATTTGGTCATTTGGGATTTTGTTATCAGGTGATAGAGAGACCGCATCTTTTCTGTCGGTTGATTGTTGAATAAATCTGACTGAACATAATGTTACTGCGATAAAATCGGTTTTTGTTTAATGATTGGATTAATAATAGTCGTGGACCACTCGTTGCTGGGTGAAGGCTGATTATCGATATGGATTTTTGAGCCAACAATTTCGTTAGTGCACATAGGGTGTCGAGATGGTGTAATAAAGTTATCCTGTAAAGTCGCCACGATGTGAGGTGTTTTTTGAGACACAAGAAAGGAAATGGGTGTAAACGACCACCAGAGATTTGTCCGGTGGGACTTGGAGATATTGATTTGGATTGATTGGATTAAAAATTGGCGATGACAAATTTCTGGGAGTACCAGGTAGTATTGACTTATAGAAAAATTGGTGATAACGGTGGGATGTGATGATATTGATTTTGATAATGAATTGCCGAGAATATCAGGTTGCACTGACTTCTCGAAGGAAAATTGTCCAAGATCATATTGATAGTTAACGATTGAAACAAAAGTAAGGAGGATGGGATGGATTCGGCATCATCATGGGAAAGTGCGTGGCGGCGTCGAATTCATTAGAATAACCTATCTCGCGAAATAACAGTGGAAGGTGGTCGGAATGGCACGCAATGGAGGGCCGACAGACTTATTGCTGCTGTCATTTGTCTGCATAAGGGCTCGTGCATGTCCGGCGGTGGTATCGGTGAAACATGACCTTTGGGCTCTTTGTTGAGAATTTAGGTAAACAAATATATTTTCGTTGACGAATACAAATTGGGAAATAATTATTTCTATCGCTCGGAAGGTTAAAATGAGTAGTAGTCTGATTTGTGTTCTTGCTGGACAGAGGTAATAGTGGGGGGGAGTGAAAGAGAGTCAGCGAATTGAAATTAATGAAGAGAATAAACTACGCCCTTTCACCTACGCACTTTAAAAATTAGATTTGTCACAAAGACAGTTATACCAGCCCCGAGAAGTGGGCAGAGTTAGAATACCTAGAAGGAAGAAGGAAGAGGCAGAATTTAACCCATTTGTGTGGAGTGACGGTGCGAGATGTGAAGTGAAACAGATTGGAGCAATCTCTGTGACTACCCCCAAGGAAGATGGACAATTCTTCAAATTTGAAAAGTTGATTAAGAAAGCAGAAATAGGGAACAAAGAAAACCTTTTTTTGGATCAATGCGAGGATCAGGGAATCACCAAATCTCATAGAATCCTTCAGCCACACGCCAGTTTTGGGCCGAAGTGTATATAAGCATATGACTTAGGGAGCTCAGAGACTTGGGGCTGAGAACACGCATCAAGTGCCTCTGAAATCCATGTCAGCTGCCTTCAAGTTTTCTGATTCCCAGAGCTTTAAGCCCAGCTCTTCCAGAAGTTTACACAAGGCCAACTGTCATTATAGAGATTGATGGGGGGGGGGTAATTTTTGTTGTACCAAGAGCTATATTAACCAATTGAAGAATAACTCCATGAATCTTTCGTATCATTTTTCATCATGAAGATATTTTCTTCCTTAATATAGCACCCGCCATGGCTTGAACCAGCGCTGCGATTACGACGACCTTCAATTTTCCACTGTTCTGAAATTAAGAACACAACGTAGGCTAAGAGGGGGTGTGCAATGAACCGGCCAGCGGCCAACAACCAGCCTGGACCAGTGTCAGTATTGAACAGCGCAGAGTTAGCCCTGTCATTACAACTTCGTCCTAAAACCCTGAGGACCGAACCACTAAACGTGGTTACATAACCAGGTGTAGGCGACAGCAAAAGGCGTTATATATTAATTGGTGTCCGTGACCAAGGACTTGACCCTGGGATGTAGGTGGTGTTATACGAACACAGAAACAAATCGGACAAATCGAGTAAAAAATATAACACTTAATTTCAAAATAACTTCAAGTGACGCAAACTTTTTCCAATCACGAGGATGACTGTAAAAAACAGCCCATTTTTATATTTATAAACAAAGCATACAGATGCATGCTGGAATTTCTTCCTAGCCAATAAGGGTGACTACTTCTCGGTCTTATCCGACTTAGTTTTGTTCTTGTCTTGAAGTCTTTTCTTAAAGGCAGAACTCTGCGATCGCTTGTCTGTATCCCTTTTGTGTGTTGACACCATTCTCAGTTTGTGAACTTTTTGTTTTATTACTGTTGCTTCGCCCACCTTTGTTCTGTATATATTGTTTGCATAATAATATTTTGTTCTTGTTCTTTTGTTATTGTTTATTGCAAACTTTGTCAATTCTGTTTGTTGGGCATTTCTGCCAATTGCATTTAACCATGGCCAATTACTCTACATTCCCGCTTAGTGATAGAATGTGGCATATAATTGATTTCACGTGGGGTGTCCATAAGCATAATTCTGGTCACAAAGAAATTCTTGATGACAATCAGAAAGAGACAGCTGAGGAGCACATAATGAAGAAAGAAGGCTTGTAGAATTTAATACTCACGGCATTGGAGGTAAGGAAAACAAAGGAAAATATCAAGTAACAATACTTGGCAAGTTTGAGCAAATGTGTGGATGAATAAGTATAAACAGGAATATCAAAGAAACAAGTATTGCTGATATAAGTAAAAAGATGAAGCCGTGAAGAGTCATACTTACTCATGTCCTGGAGTAATATAGCAGGCAGAGTGAGAATTATAAGGTTAAAAAATGTCAAGTCCCCAAAACAAGAATTAAGTTTCCGTTGAAGTTTTTTGTGGTTGTCTCTCGACATATTCAAAGTATTTTTTTATAATTACGTTTTATTACCTCTTTTGTTATGAATTGTATGATAAAGAAGGAACGAGAACCGAGGAAAAGTTATAATAATAAAGAGTTCGTCTTTCTGTTCCGGAAATGAGATGTGATTGTCAGCAAGGACAATTGCTATTTAACGCCACGTGATACGAATAATGTGCAATAATATTCCTTACATTGTTTGATGAATTAACGCTGTCCTTTATTTAAGCAGTAGGATTTGTTTTCAAATATTTCGATTCTTAATAGACTAATAGTTTTGTAGGAAAATATTCCAATTACCCTCTTTTAGTGGCTTTTTGTATAACCGTAATTTGAGTCGGTCTCTATTAAACTAATGAAACTATTCAATTTGTGCATATTTCCTTGACCCGCTTAATATGCATACCTTAAACAATTAAGGTACACTTACAAAAAAAATGTACAATTAGCTTCGCTAATAATGGTTGATGGCATTAAAATTGGTGCAGTCTTAGGAGTAAGCATAGTGTTGAATTTTGATTCGCTGTTGTATTTGATAATCTTCTGGGATAGAAGAAGCACTATAATCTAAAAACTAACAGCACTTCTTGCTTATTAATCAAACATTGATTATCGACATACGTATTTTCAGTCTATGTCTAATATTTTTTATACTACTGTTTCTTATAATTAAATACAATATATATATATATATATATATATATATATATATATATATATATATATAAGTAAAAGTAAATATTTAGTATATATAGTAAATATATAAGTAAAATATATATAAGTAAAAGTTTGTAACTTAGCAGATTCATGTTACATTCCGGTTTCAGGGTCAGAGTTTCGTGGGCGGACCTATCTGTCCACTCTTCAGAGTGTATAAGCAATTTACTGCTTATATTTTTCAATTTTTTCTTTTTTTTCGATTTTTTTTATGCACTTAGCATTGGTGTAATTTTTTTTAAGGCATGCTCTACTTATGGATGTAAGTGATCAATATTAGGGATAAAGCGGGTGCAAATATATCGACACTGAGTGGTAACAGTATGTTTATACAGTTTAAAAAGATGGCCTGAAAATTGCGTTCAAACAGTGTGTATGTGCGCGCGCGCGTGCGCTTGTGTGTGTGTATAGACGTAATAGACAATGTTTAAAATAAAAACGGAACGTCTCTTTCAAACACGGATATCTACTGAAAATAACGTTTGGCGTAATAAAAATATATATTCATTCAAATTTCACAAAATATTACCTCCATATATAAAACGCAATATATAGCTATATATCCATAATGCATTTCATTTTAATTAACAATTCACAAAGTGCACAAATACTACATTGCTTATTTACCCACTCCCATATGGTGACGTTTATTTTAAAGCGGAGAGGACAAGTGTGTATACCTAGGTTAGGACCAAAAACTGTCCGGTCCTCGCTACCGACGTCGCGCTGGCGTCGATATTCCATCAACCCCCTTTGTTTGGTGCAATGAGGGAGGTGCTGCTGCAGGGTTAGAATTCCCGGGACCAGGCATCCCTCAGTTATTTTTTGTGCGTTCTATCCGAAGACAGAAACACAATTGAGAGAGAAAATGTAGTTTGTCTGCCTGAAGGCAGTTGACAGATACTACACTTTCAGCAACGAGTGATGAAGCAAAA